TGGAGGAGGTGTTTAAGCTCAGTCATTATCTCCCTCATAGGTCTGTTATCAAGACATCCAGCAGTACTACGAAAATTTCTCCAGTGTTCGACGCTTCTTTCAAGCGCCTGGATATGCTACTTTAAACGAGTGTTTGAGTGTTGGACCGAGTCTGATACATCAGATACCGCCACTACTGCTGAGATTCCGTTTAGGGCCCTTGGGAGTAGTTGCCGATATAAAGCATGCTTTTCTGCAAATAGGTTTAAGGGTCGAAGACAGAGATGTACTGAGGTTCTTGTGGTGGGAAGATGCTGAACGCACCAACCTTAATATTTATAGACACTGCCGAGTGGTTTTTTAGTATCACTTCCAGTCCTTTTCTTCTGAATGCCACAATAAAATATCATTTAGGATTGCAGAAATTCCCAACAGAAAACCTTTAAAATATGATTGATCAATTGAGAGAAGGGTTTTATGTTGACAACCTAGTCACAAGTGTCATTGACGTAAAAGAACTGGAGCAACTGAAATCTCAAGCTATGCAAGTAATGAATGAAGCGTCATTTGAACTGAGATCCCGGCTCACTCCGGACTTTAGTGTCAGGAAAGTCAAAGTGCACTTTGCCTTAAGTGGGATACAGAAATCGATGAACTTTACTGCGTTGGTTCTCAAGCTGACATGAAATTTAAATGAAGTTGTAATGAAGAGAATTTTACTTTCTGTTGTTAACAGCATATATGATCCCATAGGCTTTACCTCACCTGCGACACTATTGCCTAAATTACTACTCCAAGAAGCCTGGCGAAATAAGTTACACTGGGACCAAGAGTTGCTATCCAATTTTCAATTACCTTATCGAAGATGGGCTAAACATTTAGATCTTGTTCAGAAATGTCAAATTCCTTGGATATTGTGTGGAACTTTCCAAATGGGCAGCTTACACATATTTACTGATGCTTTGTCTTAAGGATATGCTTGCTGTGCACTTCTGTGAAGAAAGAGAAGTGAAAGCTTCAATGATTTTGGCAAAGGCTAGAATAGCTCCAGTTAAGAGACCGACAATTCGGCGACTGAACTTTTAGGAGCTGTCATGGGATCTAGAATTGGTTCAACGATATTAGAAGTTTTGAATTTTCCTTTGAAGACATATTTTTGGATGGACTCGTTGATTGTCTTGGCATGGATTACAAACACAAAACCATGGAACACCTACATTGGAAATCGAGTGAAAGAAATTAGGAAACTGACCAATATAGATGATTACAGACATGTTCCTGGAGACATCAACCCAGCAGAATTACCTACCCGAACTTGTGACTGGTCGAACCTTCTGTAGAGTCAATGGTGGCAGGGACCAACTTGGTTGTATGGAAGGGAAGAGTCTTGGCGAATATCAGAATTACCAGTTCCAGAGGAAGCACTTCTGGAGAGACGCAAAACAGTTGTCACAAATTTAGTTACTGGGAAGGAAGGGAAATTTAGGGTAATATTTCTGTGCTTTTCAAGCTAGAAAAGAATTCTCCACGTGACTGCTTATGATTTCAGATTTTGCAACAACATCAAAGCAAAATCTATGAAGCTGAGAAATGAGATTTCATGAGAAGAGATTGAAAGGGCAGAAAATAGTCTCATAAAAATCATCCAGTCTGAATGGCCTTCTGAAATACGTGAGAAGTATAATACTACAATACAATTTTACATGGAAAATGGAATTCTGAAGGTTCAGACAAGATTCATTCTTAGTCAAGATCCAGAGAATTTTACACGTCCTATAGTTTTTCCAGACTATCATATTCTAGAGAGATTGATATTGCATACCCAGCTCTCTTTGATGCATGTTGGAGAATGGCTAATGCAATTAAGAGAAAGATTTTGGATTCCGAAAGGACAAAGAGTTGTTCAAAGAGTTTTACGACAATGTATACAATGCAAGAAACTAACATCAAGAAATGTTAACCCAGATTCAACGCCTTTGCCTCTTGACAGAATACAATGAGTTGCAGCATTTCAAGTAACTGGTGCAGATCTGGCCGGACCTCTTTTCTTGCATGAAGGGAGCAAAGCGTGGATAGTCCTTTTCATGTGTGCTGTCTATCGAGCAGTTCATGTGGAACTAGTTTCCTCCCTGACATCGGAAGCATTAGGCAGATTTTGGGCAAGGTGAAAGAGATGTTCTACTCTTTATACTGATAATGGCACCAACTTCACAGAAGCTGCAAATGCTTTGAAATTTTTGGACTGGGATTTCATTCAAAGGGAATGTGCTGTAATGAATATTAGGTGGATATTCAGCCATCCATCTGCCCCATGGTTGGCAGATTTTGGGAAAGAATGGTTTGCCGTATCAAGGAACTTCTTCGAAGTGTTTGGGAAAATCCTGTGTCACATATGGAGAAATGTTGACTTTGCTCACTGATTGTGAAGCCATTATAAATGAACGGCCATTGACATATTTGTCAGACGACCCTAACGAATTGAAAGCACTTATGCCTGCTCACTTTATTCAAGATTTATTGGAACTAGAAACCATTGATTTGGATTTAGTTGACTCTCAGCACTTACTAAAATGTGTATGTTATCTTCATACTTTATGGCTAAATCTACGAAAATGTTTCTATAAGAATATCTTGGAGAATTAATAAGAAGTCCTAAATCATCTTCACAGAGGAAAAACTATTGCTCCAGGAGAAATTGTTCTAGTTGAATTAAAGTATCCAAACAGGATAAATTAGCCTTTAGCCTAGGTAAGTGAACTGTTTCCTGCCAAAGACAATATTGAACGTGTTGCAAAACTACGAGTCGCCTATGGTGAAATCATGTGGCCCCTCCAGCAAATTTATCCTTCGGAGCTTATTTCTGCTGACAACTTCATTGAAGTTCATTCATGGAGCCAAATTACTGATCGTACAAATTTATGCTAAAATGATTGTTTCTTCAATGACAAGGTATTTTATTTAGTGTCGAAGTGAAATGAAGAATCGGGACTACTTAGATGTTTTATAATGCACGCGCCAGGGGGGGGATCAAAGGTACATGCATAAAACCTATGAGAAACACTTTGTTGGTGGTTTTGAGGTCCGGATTTTAGATCATTCCGGATAATGGACGTCCGGATTTTGGACTTTGTACTGTATAAGCATGAAAACAAATACTTTACACAAAGAAACAAAATTAAAAATACAAAATGTAAAAGAAAATTAAGCAATAATTATCTGTAAGTAATTACATTCCAATTTAATAATTCTGCTGTGTGAAGAATAATTCAAAACAAGAATCGACATACAGGACAATGACGGCTTTTTTTCGCCGAGAATATGCCAAGCAAGATGCATGACACATTGGGAAAGCTGATATCTTTATCCCTTCTGTAATAATGCTGTAAAGTTACTTTTTTAATTAACCAAGAAAGTCTATGTTAAGTTTTAAAATAAATTATAAAAAAGGACAACTGGTATGAGTTTTTCCATCACAGAAGTTCGGTGACATTACACCTGCTTTAGTCAGCTAGATGCATTTTTCCACATTCTTCTAACAAAAAATGAAAATTAAAACATTGAGCTGGATGCATTTCCCCACATTCTAACTAAAAACACAAAGAATAAAAATGAAGACAATAAAAAAAGAAATTCCTAATGAAATAAACAAGCACACCGGTATCCTTTTAACTTAAAGAGTTGTGATTCCCAGTTTGTTTACACTAATAAATCTATCAAAACCAGAAACTCAAAACAGAAACTGATGCTCATACATGAAAGTCAGCCACACGACTTAACCGATGTGAAAACCGTTCCCATTTAGCACCATCTCCTAGCATTTAAAAAGTTTTTAAAATCATTCAATTTTCAAGTTATGTATACGCAACACTGGGCTGTAGAGAATGATTGGAGCTACGTGACGCTGGGCTGGTTAGTGTGGAATTGTTGCATCAACGCTGGTCCATGACGCTGGTCCTGAACGGGTTAAGTGCTTTGCCATAATCAAACAAACCAAATCATTAATTTTTCAAGTTTGAAACAGGAAATCCGAAGATGTTGTGTGCATTAGGGTTCATAATGGACTAAATGCACACAGAACCTATGATAGTTTTATAAAAGTTATTTTACCAAAAGATACACTTTACAGTTCTGGAACTACAAAAATACTCGTACAGCTCTTCTCAGTATCACAGAGAAAAATCAGTAGTTACACTTCAAAATACTAACAGCATTAAATTAAACACATTGCAAAGTGAATCTAAAAGGTAAAGCCTACTCACCTGAGTGCTTTTAGGTTTAGGTTAAGGTTAGGTCCCGTTACTTTTAGGTTAAGCACCTCTCAATACTCTGAATTAAAAACTGATGCTCTCTCCAGTCTTACATAGTTTTCCTCTGGCTGCCAAGAAATCCCTAATATCTTCCACTTCTTGAAATTAGTGAAAGGCATATGACAGCAAGGTAGAGTAGTTATACATGGACCGGACCCAAATGTTGCCAAATAGTTGCCGAGGTAAGCAGTCATTTGTTCCATTCTTTGGTTCTGGGTGTTGCTTGCTGGGCTGCCTTGAATTTCATGGCATACATTTAAGTGCTTTTTAGATTCTTGACACCTGCCAGTCATAAGGCTTTCTTAATCTCAAGATCACGGATGAGTTTGTGAGATTTTAACTGAAGCCTGCTATAGTCTTTTAAACACTTCTCGCCTAATGCACCAGACAGAGCTTAAAAATCTAGACTCTGGTTCTGAGGAAAAGTTTGAAGGTTACCAGCTGTGTCTGCTCTGAGAGACATGGAAAGATGAGAGGCTTCAACTTCGGAATCCCATCAATTTGCATTTGCCACTATAGAGAACTGTATCTTGTATACTTGCCAGGTCTTTCCATAATAAGTGGATAGCTTTAGAGAGGGTCAGGATCACATATGTTTGAATTTAAAGGTATTAGAATTGTGCCCAACTCTTGCTATGGATTTCTTTAAACTGTCAACTTCCTTGGTGACAACAGCAGAAATGCTATCATGAATTTGTTGTTCCAAGTAGAAACCCCTTCTTTGATTTGTTGCTGGACAGCAGAAATTCTTTCTTTTATCTGTTGCTTGACAGCAGAAACTCGTTCTTGAATCTCTCCAACTCTATCTTCAATCATGTCTATTCTGCTTTCCATACTTCAGATTTGTTTTCTATTAAAGCAGAACTTTTTCTTTTCATTTTTTCTTGACCTGTTTAAATTTTTTTAGCCAGCTTTCATCTCTTCTTTGAATGCAGCAAAGGCTGCCAGTAGCTGTCTTAATTGCTCTCCATCACTCTTCTCACTGGCATTCAACCCCAATCCTAACCTAAAAACTGCTGCATGCGCATGGGTTTATAATGGACTAAATGCACACAGAACTGATAACAGCTTGATAAATTTATTTTACCAATAGAAATATTTACAATTACAGAACTTCCACAAAAATACTTATGCAGCTCTTTTCAGTATCACAAAGCACAATCAGTAGTTACATTTCAAACTACTAAGAACGTTAAACATAACGCAATGCAAAGCACATATAAGAAGTAAAGCTCACATGGATATCTCAATACTCCGAAATCAGCACTGAAGTAAACATTGGTGCTTTCTCTGGAGTTTTAAAGTTTTCTCCCAGGCGCCAAGAAATCTCTGGTGCATTCCATTTCGCAAAATTACTGGAAGACGTACACGGTTATGATTACATAAGGGTCAGATACAGCTATATTTAGGGATCAATCAAAGAACCAATTACAGTTACACAGGGAGTGGAGAAAAATGTGATGCCATATGGTCACCAAAATATTTCTTGCCAAATTTGGGGACAAAAATTAGTAGCCCAAACAATTGTCAGCTTGTCTGTATCTCACCAATTTAGATTGATAGCCATTTACTTAATGTTAAATAGACTTGCCCCCTGTAAACTTATTTTTGTGGCAGTTTCATCTCTTTCAAGCATTTCATGTTTTTATAAAAAAAAAAAAAAAAAAAAAAAAAAAAGAAAGAAAGAAAAACTGCAATTTCGCACATAAATTTCATTAAAATTATTTAACCTGCAAGAACACGCGCCGGGTCTTACAGGCACAGGCTAATATTTAATGGGTTGCAAAACCTCTCCCCTTTTGTGAAAATGGTTGAATCTACCAGTACCTGCTTCCAAGGTCACCCTCTTCCATTGCATAGAAGGTCATATTTCTCGAAACTGTCTTTAGCTAGGAACTGAATCTCCAGGCCTGAAAGACCCAACGCGCGTTCTTCATTCGTGTTTTTTTTAAATAATGCTTGTATAAGAATTTCAAAGATGCATCGTTATTTAAGCTATAAAGATGAAATGAAACGGCTTTCAAACATTACTTGCCGAAGTATCAACAGATGAACATTCACTAAATGGAGATGATGATGAAGAAAGTATCGATGAAGAGCAATTTACTGCTCATGAAACTTCATCAGATGATGAAATAGATGCATCGAGTTTAGGCGAATTTTAAACTGGGAAAAGATGGAACAACAAAATGGAATAAGAAAAGGCCAAAACAAAATATAAGAACACTTTTGCATAATGTTATCACTAAATTACCTGGAAACGTTGGTAATGCCTAAACTGTATCTCCCCCTACAGACTCTTGATTATTACTGTTTGATCCCATTCTACAGCGCATTGTTGATTGCACGAACATTTATATGAAAAAATCTGAGGATAATTTTCAAAGATACCGTGACAACAAAAAAAAAACTGATTTAATCGAAATAAAAGCTTTAATCAGTCTTCTTTACTTTTGTGGAGTACATAAATCCTCCCACGTTTATGTGAAAGATATTTGGGCCACTGGGAGAATGGCACAGGACTGGAAATATTCCACCAGACTTATAAGAGATTTTTTATTTCTGCTATGTTGCCTAAGATTCGATGATGTAAAAGCGTTATCACATTAGCTGTTTGTTGCCAGGACAAAACGTTCGTAGCAACAGTTCTGAGAAACGGCCTTTGGCGAAATAGGCTTACTATCTTCACTTGGCAAACAGGCTGAAAGCCAAACAAGAATCAGTTATCGCTCAGATTGGCGAAAGTGACGTTTCCTTTCAAGTGACATTCGCTTCTTTGTGTTGTTTTGTATCGCTCACACGCTTTTCGTTTTAAACTTTATTGTTAGTAATGGAAGATAATAGAAAGGTGATTGCTATCAAGTTAATCACTTTGATCTCCACTCTGGCACTTCATGTAACAGATAAACACACTTCTGGTTTATAGCAATCAATTACATCAGTAATAGCCAAATTCTGTATACACTAAGAATAGTTTAAAAACATGTGCTGGATAAGTCTATTTATCACACATCGCTTATGTGTATTTTCTGTTGTCTGCATTTCAATGAAAATTTGATGGCTCACTGGAAAATTTGTGACCTGGTGAAAGCATTTTCTGACTAACTTTATGGCTCATAATTACTGTTCTGTCCATTCAAATGACAAAAATCTATATGGCTGATATTTACCTCCTCACAGCCAGCAGATACTATTCAGCAAAATGAAGATCAAATAAAGCATATGAATACATGAGCAATCAAACATGTGCGAGTTGTTTTACTGTCCCATAGAACACTCGGTAATATACCTAAAACACATTAATTATACCAACTCTAGAAATTAGGTGTTCACATCATGAGTTTGTTTTATGGTTTGGTTTATTGAGATTACAGCAAAGCACACTAGGGCTATCTGCCTAAGGGAAGGGATGCCTTCGGGGAGGACTTTCTAAGGGAAACTGGCTCGTATACACGTTACACATGGGGAAAACCACGAAAGCGTCCATGCAGCCAGCCCGTTCGCGGGATTCGAACCTCGCTCGGCCGCTGGTGGGCTCAGTTGGTTTTATGTGATTACCGCAAAGCCTCGAGGGATCCCTTTGTAGAAGATTTTTTAAAACTGGCTCGTATACCAGTTACAAATGGGGCAAACCAAGGAAACGTCATGTAGCCAGCCCGTTCGCGGCATTCTAACCTGAGACAGAACTACCAGTGTTCAACGACGCTTCGGCCACTAGTAGGCCCGTGCACTTAATTGGAAAGTGCAATTCATTATGTAAACAGACATGAAGGTGATAATCAGTTGTGCGCTGTTTTAAGTAATCAAATGTTATAAATGCACAGCTGTTACATTTCTTATTATTTATTAGTCATGTTTTTATTACGTAGATCATACGTATGATATAATTATGAATTAACCCAATAACAAAATGTGTACACTCTTTAGTACTCAAATACTCATCAATTATTTTTCAACTGATTATTACATACCCATAATAATTTGCAAAGAACTGATAACTATAGTTGCTGCCAATTACATAATCGTTATCTGAATTAAAAGTAACTTCAAATAAACTTCTTGGCAATGTTCATTTTTGTATTCATACATACATATATATACACATCTAATAAGTCATATATTTACATACAGATAGAGAGATGC